GCGTAATTTTAACTAAACCATAGGGACGAAAATCATAACAAAAAGAAACTATAAGGATGGTCCGAGTGCAAAACAAAAGTTAGGGACCAAATGCATAATTTTAACTAAACCATAGGGACGATTTCAGTAATTTGTTCTAATAAAAATATGAAAAAACAATTTAAACAAAGATTAAACATTTACATTCATATACTCATATATGAACAATCATATGTAAGTATTGATATATGAATATATATAAACATTACATTTTTCATAAAAAAAACTATTAAATTACCTTAAATTCATTTTTAAATTCGCTTTTAGTGTTGTTGTGTTGCACAATATAAACTTCCCACCCATCTTCAATACCAACATACGAGTATGTACAAAAAAAAACTTGCTTTATATATTTCCTTTTGCACCTCAAAAAATAATGTACTTGTATAAACCTTTGATGCTTGTAGTTCTATTTCTCAAGGTGTTTGCATTTTATATGATGCTTTCTTTGATGCCTTATCAAGCTCTCGTTGAGTATTCCTTTGCTTTTGAATGGCAGTGTCGTAATTCATCATGAAATTCAAAAGTAAATTACCACTTTCTGAGTAGGTATTAAAGAATGAATTCATACTCTCTGACCTCGACGTAGTCTTCATCAAACCACACATTGCAATATCATTAAAATATCCAGGTATCCATGAATCACGTTTTGTAAACATGTCTTTGTACCATCCCGTGTCTTCCAGATTGAATTCATTCATAAGCAAACCCCATTTCACCTCAAATACATCAGGTTTCATATTAATGTCCCAAACAAGCTTCGAGAATCTTTTTCTAAAGTCTGTGTTCGTAGATAAATCATCTGATATCTGTATTAAAACAAAAATAATATATACTTCTATATTTATTCATAAATGAATAAATATGAATAAGTAAAATATCAATAAATATTCATAAATGAATAAGCTAATATTTGAAAAAATTAGTATATTCATCTATGAATAACTAAATATTATGTAACATATTTGAAATATATTAAAATAATACCTTGTTTTTCAACTTCTTCATTATATGCCACATACATAATCGGTGCTTTGAATTAGGAAAAACATTCTCAATAGCTTGTTTTATTGCTGCATCTTGATCGGTTAAAACAAGTGTTGGTTCTTTCCCATGAGTTTTAAGAAACGCTTTAAGCAACCAAGAGTAGGACTCAATGCTTTCATTGCTTAGCAAACCCGCTCCAACAATAACTGGTTTTTTATGATGGTCAATAGCAGTAAATGGAACAAAAACCATTCGATACCTAACACACAAAAAAAAGTGTTCATTTTTTGATGTATTCATAAGTAAAAATAAAAATATTCATCTATCGATACAATTACGGTATATTGTTAGAATAATTTCAACAATAAAAACTGAACATGAAACGTAAAACTTAAAATATTCATATATGAATAAGCAATAAAAAAGTAGATAGAATAACTTACTTGTTTGTTCGAAAAGTCGCATCAAACGAAATAACATCACCAAATTCAGCATAATATGTCTTCTCCATTTTATCAGCCCAAAACATACATTCCAAAACATCATCTTGACAGTTAAACTCAAATGAGTAATTTGGATAGTGAGATTGACGATCATTCATTGTGTTTACTATCATTTGAGCATCTTTATAACCTATAACCCTGTTGATATCTCTCCTTAAATTTTTATAGTCAACTACTTTGGGCTTTACAAATTCATACCCACCTCTCAGACTTGCTCTCAACTTATGAGCCATAGTTGGGCCTATTTTTGATGTGGAAGCACACACTATAAACTCTTTTTCTGAATATGACATTTGCCTCGCTTTTTTCAAATCACTTCTCTTCTCAAGTGGATGGTTGTGAAATTCATCAAACTGAAAAACTTTATTATCTGGAGTTCTATACACAGATTCAAATATAATCTTTGCTTGACAACCAATAACTCTTGAATTTGAATTTCGTTTCCTCCTAACACCACTTGTACCCAATGTGTCACAAGATTTCTTTTTTTGTTTACCACCACGATTACATGTAACATGTTTCTTCTTTATAATCTTGTTATCAAACATTGACACGTGCTCAGTCTCACATCAAAACCACCAATTTCAGCATACTCAGAATACATTTTGATGGCCAACTTTAATGATTTGAAGATTAAACCTTTAAATGGAATAAGTTGAACAGGTACATCTGGCTTATAGACATGTTCTCCAATTATATCACCACAATATTGCGCATCATGTACTGAACTCGAAGATTCACCACCTAAAAAATATTAAATCTAAATCAATATAATAATGCATGAATAAAACAATCATATATGAATACATGAAATTCATATGAATAAAACAAAAAACAATGTTTATTAATGGATTAATAAAACATTCATATATGAATACATAAAATTCATGAGGATTCAAAATATATAAAATAAACATAACTTATTCATATATGAATAAAACGAAAATACAATTATCACACGTTTATTCATATATGAATAAGACAACAATTTATTCATATTAACATATTCGTATGTCAATAAATGATAATCAACAAAATTAAAAAAAACAAAATAATTCAATAACTAATACCTTCAAAAAATGAGTTCTCAACATCTTCTTCTTCACTCTCACACATAGAAGAATACAAATCACCATCAATAACACTAGAATTCGACATAATAAACCAAATTATCTATATAATAAACAAAACAATCTTAATATCGAATATATCTCACAAAAAAAGTCGTAATATGAAAACCTGGTTAATTTTCGAACATATCTCACCTCAACGTACAAAATATATGAAATAAACTTAAATCAGCTCGATCAGATGATGTAATTAAGCAATCTCTCTCAGTTCAGAGCGTAAAAACTACAACGATATATCCGATTGAAAATTAAATCAACTCCGATTTGAAATAAATATTTCAAACTACATAACAAAAATCCGATGAAATAACTCAAATACATATCGAAACTTGATAATCTTGATAATGAACTCCGATTAAACAACTCCAAAACGAAAATAATACGCGTAATTCAAAACAAATTATATAAAGCAATAATCTTGCTAATGAACTCCGATATATCCGATTCAAACGATATACATACCTGATCAAATCGGAAACTAAATACGAAGAAGAAAACTGAAACACAGATGCGAAACTTCACGATTAATGGAAAAAATCTGTATAATTGTTAACCAGTTATATAAAGAAACAAATCTTGATAATGAATTCATCATATCCGATTAAATGAGCTAAAGATATAATAATTGGAAACTGATAACAACGAAAGGTAAGTTCTATATAAAAACGTTGCTAATTTACAAAGATACCCTTAATGAAATGGACACGCGCATTTTTTTAAGGTGAAGATGTTAGATAAATGATTGGCTGAGAATGATTCCCCCATTCTCAACCTTTTTTATTTTCTCAATAGTACTTACCTATATATATATATATATATATATATATATATATATATATATATATAGATGTAGGTTCAATGTTTCTCACACTATTGTGTGCTAGAATGCATCAATATGATTTAGTATAATTATATGTATATTAAATGCTATCCATACTTATAACTCATTTTTATGGAAACCAATAAATTCGTCATTAATGTCAACATATCTTCTTTCAGAGGAGATTCATATTTAGAAGAATGAGAGTGTATCCAGCAGAATGAGAGTGTATTCTAGTAGAATACACTCTCGTTCTTCATATTTCATGCAACTTTATTGTATTTTAAGTGAGTGACTCCTGAAACAAAATACGAACTCATATATAAAAACCTAGATGCGAATTCATTCTGAAAGAATGTTATTGCTGACATTAATGACAGATTTAATTAGTTTCCATATAAGAGAATTATAATTTATGAAATATCAGTTAATATCTATATTATTTAATTAAATAATTTATTTAATTTACGAATTCTATTGGTGCATTCTACCACATAATAAATGTAACAAACAAAATAACCTAACCATATATATATATATATATTATATATATATATATATATATATCTATATATATATATATATATATAATATCCCCATACCTAAAATAGGGGTGGCAAAAACCGCACCGCAACTAAAATTAACCGCAAAACGCATAACCGCAACCGCAATAAAAACCGATGTGAGGTTCTCTGTTTTTTCAAAAACCGCAAATTTGCGCTGCGGTGCGGTTATTAGTTTTCAAAAACCGCAAAAAAACCGCACCACACCGCATATATTATATACAATTTTTTTATTATCAATTATTAGTTTATTAAATATTAAAAATAAGATAAGTTTCATGAATGAAAAACGGATAAAATAATACAAGACAAAGTGTTGGTTTTTTCTTATGTTAACTTTGAAAATTGATGAAATTAGACAATTTAAGATATTTATTGTTATCATTATTGATTTGACGTTTTTTAAGATATTAGTTGTTTGTGGTTTTAAGTTAAATAGTTAATTGTCATATACCTTATGGATTTTTTCTTTATTCAAGTAATATGTTTGAACTCTTAAAACTATTTGAACTCTAAACTGGGTTACAAACCACACAAAATAATGCACCAAATCCATGCGGTTAATAACCCGCAACACAGAAGAAAAAAACAAAACCGCCCACCGCAAAAATAACCGCCTAACCGCACCGCAAAAACACCGCACCATACGGTTTTGAAAATGGATTAACCGCATTTTGCGGTTAGTGGGTGGTTTTGGCTAATAACCGCACCGAACCACACCGCGCTCACCCCTACCTAAATAGAACACGAAAGGCAAAATGTGTTGGATGGGTGTCGTGTTTGGTTGGTATCTTCAAAAGTGGCGGCCATGCGAGGGCCAAGAGATTGGAAGAGGCAAGGCAGAGCAGAACTACACAACTTTTTGTTTTAGAATCAATTAAATATTTATAAATATGTCTGTTTCATTTATTTATTATTTTATTAAGTGAAAATTAAGTAAAAGGGTTTGGGGGCATAAATGAGTTGGGAAGGTCAACTTGAATCCAAATGGATGTATGAAAGGGTGAGCAAATGGATGAAATTCAAGTCCTATATATAGAGGTTTATTGGTTTTGTACGGTGCCACGTTGTAGTATTTCATGGTCCACGTCGTAAGCCGTTCACCGATCACCACGTGTTAAAAATTCATGGAGCCATGTCACTCGGTCGGCGGAGGAGTTGGCTACCTGACAGGCCACGTGCGCGCCATGTTCATTAGCCAGGTGTTTTTCTGAAATCTTTGAAAGACCTAACTTTCGTATACGGGCTCATTTTTTTGATATTCTTTATAGCCATATGTATATTTCGAGTACTACAGTTTTCCTTTAAACCTCAACAAATAATTCTCACTCTATTTAAATTCATATTTTATAAGATTACATTGTTAAAGTTCATGCGAAAATCATAAATCCTTCAAACGAACTTCGTTCTCATTGTTTTTATATCAACGGATCGTATTCACGAAATCTTCAACTCTCATTTAGATTTTTTGACTAATAATCAACCGATATTTAGTTTCGATTTTTATGCGCACATTGATGTACTGAAATTCTAAAAATCATAACTTTCTCATACGAAGTCAGATTTATAGACGTTATTTATATGTACGTTTTCGCTTTTATGATTACTACGACTTTCGTTTAGATTACTCGGGCTAACAAGCAACTGATCTCTAATTCACTTTTATGACACACATAGTTGTGTCGGGTGATTGCAAAACTTCGAAGAAGCATAACTTTTTCATACAAAGTCAGATTGTAAGCGCTCCTTATATCCACAAAAATTGTCATTACGACTACTACTATTATTTAAGACTATTTATCCTAAATAATATTCTAATTAAAATGTTATTTATGGTCCGTAACGCGTATCCTATTCGAGGATTTAATCATAATACTTTTATATTTATATTTTAAATGTCTAGTTCGAACTTGCGGACGTTACAGATTTTAAGTCATATATCATATATATTGTCTATTTACTATGTTTATTTAAACTTTTTGTTTAGATTTTTATAAAAAATATATAATTTTTTAATTTCGATATTTTCTATTTACTATCGAATTTTCAGATTTGTTCTTAAAATTCACATTTTTTAAACCCGAAATGTCACTCTGAAATGTATTTTTTTGTCGTCGGTCCAAAATCTCTCTTTCGAACATAGGGTTATTTGCCAAAAACATTTTTTGTTATTTTCTTTAAATACACATGCATTATTCGTTAGATTACTCAACTTTCATTAATTATTTATTTGTTTTTATAATTATTTATTATTATTTAAATGAAATATGTGTACCATTGGATATCATTATGAAACTTAACTATCTTGATTTAGAAAGAACCTTAAAACGGACTAAACTAAAGTAAAGTAAAACTTCAAGGACCATTCAATAAATATACTATATTTTATCTTCTTTATCTTCTTCCCTTTCGAGAAAACCGGACAACAAGGTCGAACAAAGTCGCCATTTTTTCAGAGCAAGGTTCGGTACGCTCTCATTTCTCGTATCAATTTCCCTTTCTATTTAGGCTTTATTACGAAACAAGTATCGTTTAGGGCTTTCGGAGAACAATTGCACTTGATTCTTAAAAATCTTTTAAACCTAGCACACTTCAAATGGAAGAAACTTGACACGGATAAAACCGTAATCGTTGTATCCGTAGCACTTTCTACAACAGTTTAGTCTGATTCTTGTTCCAGAATCTCTAAATTCGAATCAAGTTTGCGAAACAGATTGAATACTTTTGATGGTTATTGCTAATTACAACACCGTACTTGACATTTCAGTCGGGTTTACCATGAATCTGTATTTGATGTTATCACGAAATTCAGTATCTTCTGCCAAATTGAGTTCAACTATTCAACCCTTGAAGCCTTTTCCCCTATGAATTGGATTTATGCTTTCAAGGCCCTAATTGTTTTTAAAAATAGATATAAGCTCATAGTAGTTTCACAATTATGCAGGTTGTTAACAAATGGCAAGTCTAATCATCTCTCCCCCATTGATCTCATCCTCAAAAAGAACCAAACCAGAGTTCAAAACTTCCCATTCTTCTACCCATGGTGGTGGGATGATCATATCAATGCAGAGACCATTGGAGGAGATATACAGCATAAGGGTAGAAAAGAACGTGTCAAAAGAGCGATTATCAGAGCTTGGGGTGTCAAAATGGTCAACATGGAAGACAGGTAAATGCAATGTTCCATGGGATTGGCATGTGACCACTGTTTATTGAGGAAGAGAAAGAAGTGAGGGTTGTTCCAGAAGGTAGTGAGAGACACATGAGTTTTTGTGCTGGTGATTTGGTTAGGTTATCCTAAATGGTTCGAGGCTGATCTTTGGTTTAATGGGTATTATCAAGAAAAGATATAGGTTTTGGCTTGATGGTGATGATTGGGTTTGTGAAGAAGTTGTTGGTTTTTTTGTGGTAGGGTTTGGAAGGTGTTGTTTCTTGTATTTTTGGTTGGTTTGAATGAGAGTATTGTGGAAGAAGTTATTGTGTTCATTTGAAAAATCTTAGGTGTTTCTAATAGATATTATGCCTTAATTACCTTATGTCATGTA